CACATTGTCAAACTTATTGTCAAAATCATTGTACAAGTAGCATAGTTCAAATACTAAAGTCCTTCTGTGATACCTCAAGCTATTTTCATTCTCTATGAGATTTATCCCTCAATAGACTATGCTTCTCTCCAACTACATTCTTTATTCTTGTTATTTAGTCTAAATTCATCTCTTTTTTGGCAGTTTCAACTTGCCCTTAACCGCTTTGATCCAAACATCTGGAAGGCTATAGTCAACTACGGCACCAAGATTGGTTTCCCAATATTAGTTTATGGTGGAGTTTAGAAATGTTTATATGTCGAAAGAAGGTTCTAATAATGGTTGGTAAAAAGCAAGGTTTATTGCTTCTTCGACATAAAGTTAACTACGGTCTTTCTTTTTGATGGGACGTGCTATTAGGTTGACGCATTGTTTATAACTTGGATATATCGACATAGTAGAGGTTGGAAAAACTACTTTTATTTGTTAGGGATTACTTGAATTTCGCGCGGTATGATCCAATTCCCAAGGGGACGTACGGTCTCAACCTCATATTATAGAAGATATTTATACTTGAATATTTCTTTCTTGTATGCTTCCTTTTCTAGTTCGGTATTGTAAGACTTCCCTTTATTTCTTTCATCAAAAGAATGCATATTGAATCATCGACCAACAAAAGATTTTGGGAGATGTGTGTAGAGGTTAAGAAGAATAGAAAATATAGTGATGACTTTCTATACAACATAATTCGAATATTTGAAAAAACTAAGAGCATTTTCAATGCATTCTATGAATTACTATATAGGTGGCATGGAGGTTGAAAGATTTTCAGTTTATGTGACATTAATGTCTAATAAATAGACACTCAAGTTTAAAATTAGTCTTCAAAGCATTTTATTCTATGAATTGCTATTTAGGTGTCCATTATTAAGAAATTATCTAATATTAAAATATAGATCAATATATAAGGATTTGAAATATATACTACTCTAATAAGGTTGGCTTTTTTAAGAGAAAATCACAAGTTTTAATATGGTATCAGAGTATATTAAGTACCAATGAGCAATTCGATCTGACAAAGACTCAAATATGCACACGAATTTCAAGATTAGTCTGTCCATACAAGCCAAAATCTTGTGAGCACGTTAAGAGATAAATTCAACGTTAGTTAAATATCAAAATATAGTGAATGTTTGGTGGGGATTAAACTAGATTTTTAGTAGATTGTGATAGAAGTTTTTGAAATTGTGGTTAAAAAATTATGGGTCCCATGAAAGATGTGTTTAATATTGATTGTTTGACTTTGATTTAAAATAAAATCTGATTTTAATTTGAAACAAACAGGGCCGTAGACTAATATATAGGAATTTAGATTACCCCTCTTAACAAGGTTGATCTTTTAAGATAAAACTCGAAAATTAAAATAAAATTGTGCCTAGACATTTGGAAAATAAGGCTCTGTTTGAGCCAAATTATTATAGAATGAAAATGAAAAATATAGCCGTTA